AAAGTAGCTCACTCATGAAACTACATCTCATTATTACAAATAAAGATGATGACTTAACAGAAGGTGACAACAAAAGCACAATAGACCACTGAAGGTCGCAGTGCTAGGGCAAGTTTTATGGCTCACCCCTCATACTCATACTCAAAGGTGACAACATACCAATGACAGCTTAGAATCTCTGTACAAATATTAAGGATTTTAAAAAAAGAATCCCCACTTTTAAGATCAATACAAACGTGACAGCAATCAAAACTGCTTTCCTCTCTTTTAAATGGTAAATTACCTGGTCTTGGAAAGGTACTTAAATGCAAAAAATGGTAAGACTACCCAGAATAAGTTTCCAGATGGCATCCCTTCAGTTCCAGTTGCCAGCATCTCTAACTTGCAGTTAATACTACAAACATTATTACAGAGAGTATGGATTCATTTTTTTTCTGTTAAACTAGCAGATTCAGATGAAACACAATAATTAAAGATTCACCACAATATGCCACGAATACAGACATACATTTATTGCATTCATATGATTCAGGAGAGAGACCAGTGGCAGGCACTTGTGAATGTGGCAGTAAACCTTCAGATTCCATAAAACGCCAGGAAACTGAGTGTCTGAGTTACGTTGTCAAGCAGGGCTTTAATCCATGGAGTCAGTTATGCAGTGAATAGGTCATTAGTCATAAATTTGTAGTTCACTTCATAATGTACACTTCATTTAAAGAAGATACTCAGTTTCTAATAAGCCTGTAGGAAGTGTGATGCATGTCACTGTGTAAAAATCCAGCATCTTAATGACAATTCACTGTGTAGGCCTAAAATATAGTGAAATGGTTTATTTTGCAAATAAATTTAATTTATTTTGGGTACTTGCTATTTTCTTTAAAAAAATGTGACTAGAAATTGTCTTTTCATTAAAATCGTTGCAACAGACCTTCAAATCTCTAAAACATTGTTTCTCATAAAGTATATTTGTTTGAACATAACATACATTAATGAAGTGTGATGAATAAAGCACATGTCAGGTATTCATTTTGTAAACAATGACAGATGCCTTAGTAGATATTGTGACGTGTCACGCTAGCTGGACCCCCCCCCCCCCCCCCGGCGGTGACGTGCCAAGCGGAGCCGAAGTTAGCCGAGTCCCAGCATCCTGGTAGCTATGCAACGCGAGTCAACAGCAGTGATGTAAGGCGGCGTGAGGTAACAGCGTTGCTAGGCTATACACAAACACAGTGACGTGGCACCGATTCCTACTGTGACGCGACACGCAATGATGCTGTTGATGCGGGCAACAGGTAACAGCGAACGGAATAAAAGCCAGCTGAGCAGTGTGTTATCAACAGTTCAGTTGTAGTCAAATTGAAATGTAGCCGTCGCCGAAGACACTTCTCAAGGCAGCAGCCTACGAAGCAAGTTAAAGTGTATCAGCGGCCGAAGACAGTTCTCCAGTCAGCAGTGAACGAGTAAAAGTGTGATAATCAATGACAGTTTGAAATAAGTGAGAATTAATTGGGAGTGTGTAACACAGTGACACTTGTATAGCTCCCGTACTGTGAAACGTGTAGTCTACTGACAATAGCGTGATTTGATTTGCGAATAGGGTTATAAATTGTGAAACCCCGCAATATTGTTATAATTAATTGTAGCCGTTACTTGTAGGTTGTTAAATAAACCAATTAACAATCACTACGGCGTCTTCAGTAACAAAACATGTTACAATATGTCAAAACCTAATTTTCAGACTGAAAACTAGCAATACAAAGTGCAAGCAACACATGGATAAATATGGCATCACATATTTAACATCTTTGAAGATTTGCATTTCATGTGGTCGATAGATGATCATCCTCTAGAATATGATGCCATGGTGTCTGGCAGATTACATGGTATCACATCCCAGAAGACAGTACTAATCTTTGCTGAGCACATCAAACATAGTTTAATGAACACTGGTAGTCTTTGCCCTTAACCATGCAGCATGCCACATTTAATGTAACTGGACATGTTTCCAATTTAAAACACAAAGTGGGGGAAACAACATACACTTACATTTGTCTACTGATCTGTATCACATCAGAAAGTCACTTGAAGTTCAAATTTCATATATTTATAATATATACTGTTATATGTATATTTACAAACACCAATTCTTGTACTATGTTTTGCCTTCTTTAAAAACAATACTCTGTGTACTGCATGAACAAATCCAAATTATATTTATCCCTTGCAAGAGTTCTTCCTTCTGTATAAAAAAGTGCCTCCCCACACACTATTCGAGCCTTACAATGCAGTGTATTTACACCTGCTGATATTCTTATCACTACTCACTATTTTATAATGGACATTCTGAAGGTCCCAGGTCAATGCCATCAGCAAGCCAATGGCTTGGGATTAATAAGAGTCCCTGCAGTAAATACAATTTTGACGACGCCCCCCCCCAACACACACACACACACACACACACANNNATATATATATATATATATATATATATATATAATGTGAAATATTAAGTCAATTTATCTCTTTGAGATTTCATATTTCAGTAATACCTTCAATAAAACATATGAAATTAGGTGACACTTAATACATATAAACATGAAGCTGAAAGCAATTACTGAAACATGACAATAAATACTTCCATTATTCCCAATCTTTTAATGTTAACAAATATTCTGATTCTGTATATACATACGTAAGTCAATAAGTAAGTTACAAATAGATACAGAACTTAAACAAATAAGAGTACTGATTTGAAAAATGCTTTTATTTCTCAATATAATCTCCCTGTACATTGAGGCACTTGTCCCATCGTCTCACAAGCCCCTGAAAACCAGCAGCATAAAATTCTTTGGGCTGCTGTCAGAAACAGGCAATGACTTCTCTTGCTACAGCTTCATTGTTGGGAAAATGTTCAGCCGAAAGATGATGTTTAAGAGGGCCAAACAAATGGAAGTCACTTGGAGCAACATAGGGATTATACGGAGGATGCTCAAGGACTTCCCAATTGAAATTTTGCAGCGTCTCATTTGTCTTGGCAGTATGGGGACGCGCATTGTCATGCAAGAGCAACGCGCCTTTGGTGAGGAGTCCTGGTCACTTCCGTTGAATGGCTTTACAAAGTTTCCAAGCGACTTCCATTTGTTCAGCCCTCTTAAACTTCATCTTTTGGCTGAACATTTTCACGACGGAGAGGCTGTAGAAAGGGAAGTCACCGCCTGGTTCCGACAGCAGCCCAAAGAATTTTATGCTGCTGGATTTCAGGGGCTTGTGAAGCAATGGGACAAGTGCCTCAATGTACAGGGAGATTATGTTGAGAAATAAAAGCATATTTCAAATCAGTATTCTTATTTGTTTAAGTTCTATATCCATTTGTAACTTACTTATTGACTTGCCCTCATACATAAACAAAAGGCTTAAGTCAGAATTTTTCAGTTCTGCACAACAATTACAAAAATTCTGTCAATCGAGATGAGAATTTTCTCTACTACACCAATTCTTTCACTGCAATCTCGTTTTAAAACACCAGCCACTTTTCTCAATGCACTGAAAGGTACTACTTGCCCAATCTGATATCAGATAATGTTCAAAGAAAAAATGCCATGAATTGTTCTTTTTTAACTCAATTCTGGGTCTATGTCCTTCCTCACCATGGGCAAGAAAAGGGAGACAAGACCAGTTTTGTTGACAAGTTGATCTACAGTAGAGCTACCAGTCAATAAGATTCTTGTGGATCAGGTAGTTTGTGTGGTACTGCACAAAGCAAACACAGTTATCCAAAAACAGCTCAAGTTCAAGACTGAAAAATCCATGTCCCCATCAATGTTTCCTCTTCTTGATTTCACCTTGAAAATTTCAGACCTTCACATTCCTAACATATAATGACATGATGCCTGAAAGCTGGAACAGTGGAACTTGGTAAACACGTTCCCATCGTAACGGATATGTATACAACAATAGAGGAACTGTTGGAAATGATGTTTCCTACAAGGCCCATACCAGAGTTATATAATGAAAACTAATGGGAGACAGGGATCAGCTGGAGGTGTGTGCAGGTGTGTGTGGATTGGAGGGAGGAAAAAGCCAGTTAGTGAGTGAGTGCCCACTTGAGTCACCCCCAGCAGAGATGGAGTGACTGGTAGTAGTCAAGACACCTCCCCTTGTTGAAGATGACGCCCCATTTTGAAACAAACAAAATATCTGAAAAGAGCAAACATGTGGTCCCAAGTCACAATTGGACACAGACCCAATACACTGTGCGGGTGATGGCCAGCCCAAACTTAAGCGACAAACCAAACTGACAGAAAAATATTGTGACATGACACCTGAAGGGTGAAATGGCAGAGCCAGATGAGGCGCCAATGCTAAGTAACAACCTGGTAAACATGCTCCTGCAATGACAACAGAAGAACTGCTGGAAGAGGTGTTTTCTGTGCAGTCCATGTCAAGGATATATAATGTGGACCAAAAGGAAAACACAGCAGTCAGTCGCGAGTGAACAGCCTTAAGGAGGGACCAGCGCAACATGACGCCTGAAAGGTGGAACAAACGAGCCAGAAGAGGTGGCAACTACTACGCAATGGCCCGGCAAACACATTCCCATGGCAACTGCTACTCACTCAACAATAGCAGAACAGCAGGAAGCTGTTTTGTATGCAGTCTGTGCCAAGGTTATATAAGACGAAAAACACAGGCAAGTCGGTCAGCAGCTGATGGTTGGTGACTTAGTTGTGAGTGAGCAGCTGCAGTTGGTGGCCGGTCATGAGCATGAAAGCAGAAGAATCTCCACTGTTAGAAACTGCTACCTAGGAAACACTAGTGAAGACATAACAAACTGAGCAGACTTAGTGCATGCTATAATGATTTGCAGTGTGTAAATTAGTGTTATAGTTTTGTAGCTATGAGTCATAAGCATTCAGTAAATCAAATTATCAATTACCATGTAATTTAATATAATTTACATTAAAATGCAAGCAGGTCAAAATAATTTCATTCTCTGCTCTTCATCTCAATGCAGTCTCTTTACTTACCATCTGAACAAGGTCCTCCAGGAAAGGCAATAGCTTCATAAGCTCATTGTCATTCTGGTCAACAAACCAACTCTCAATTGGGATCCCGTTTTCCAACTGAAATAGAAAACATGCTCGTATAATCCAGATGCATGTCTCTGTAAACAGACACCAACTCACTTCGTGGAGCTGAGACCATCTTGAGAAGCCGCCAACTGCGTAACTACTCAAGAACTTCCCAGCAATTTATGGAACCAGAAGGTTCATTACCGTGTTCACAAGAGCCCTCCACTCATCCCTATCCTGAGCCAGATTGGTCCACTTCATACCAGCCCATCCTATCTCTCTAAGATCCATTTTAATATTATCCACCCAGCTATATCTTAGTCTTCCTAGTGGTTTCTTTCCTTCTGGGTTTCCAACCAATCTCCTATATTAATTCAGCTTCGCCCCATTCGTGCTACATGCCTTGCCCATCTCATCCTCCTTGACTTGATTATTCTAACCATAATTGGTGAAGAGTACAAGTTATGAAGCTCCTCATTATGCAGTTTTCTCTAACCAAACATCACGTCATCTCTCTTCAGTTCAAATATTCTCCTTAGCACCTTGTTTTCAAGCACCCTCAGTGTAAACAAACACTAACAATTATAATTATGCAAACTTCTAACATTTGAAACTGAAATCTGAGCTCTCCTTTATGTGATCTCAACATGACAACCTTCTATTTGTATCTGCTGACGTGGCAAAATGTACTCCTGATATTTTATAAAAATCAGGTGTGTTTCAGGCTAAAGAAAGTCTTATCGCTTTCTCCAAAAGGACGCAATGATAAATTTAATTCAATGTACACATATTATTTATGTGTCTGTTTAAACTTTATAAATTTAAAATTGTTATCATTTATAGGTTTAACACTTATAAATTTAAAATTTTAACAATTCAAAAGAGACATCATTAATTCCAAAATGTCATGGATAGCTTTTGATAAATTTGGAATATAGCTGTATATACAAGGTGGTTCAAACATGACCGGGACCGATTTTTTTTTTTAAAAACAATAATTGCCAAACACTTACTTGCACATGTCAGTCTTCAACGTACTCCCCTCCAGAGTCAACACATTTTTTCCAATTTTCTGGAAGCATCCTGATGCCCTTTTCAAAAAAGGCTTGTGGTTGGTGGCGTATCCACTCCCAAACAGTCTGGATGATGGCGTCATCGTCCACAAACCGCATGCCATGCAAGTCTGATTTGAGCCTTCCAAACAGGTAGAAATCACTTGGGGCCAAATTCGTACTGTACGGCGGATGTGTCAGAAGGTTCCATTTCAGTTTCCGGAGGGTTTCCATTGTTGTTTTGGCCATATGGGGGCGTGCATTGTTTTGAAGGAAGGCTACCCGCTTTCCACGTGTCTTCCGCTTGGATCAGATCTTTTCCCTCACATCTGTTGCCAGGTCTGTGCAATAAGCTGCATTGACTGTTCTGGCATCTGTCAGAAAGTCTACATGAATAACCCCCCTGCCAGTCCCAGAAGAACGTTGCCATCACTTTTCCTGCCGAACGGCTCCTTCACGCTCTCTTGGGTTTGGGAGAACTGGTATGCGGCCACTCACGTGATGACTGCTGGGACTCGGAATGAAGTAGCGAACCCATGTTTCATCAGTGGTCACTATAGACTTCAAAAATGCATCGCCTTCATCTTCAAACTGCTGTAGGAGACGACTGGCAGCTTCCATGAGCACCATTTTGTTCATGTCCGTCAAAGTGTGTGGTACTCACCGTGCATTCACCTTGCAATAGTGCAGGTGGTATTTCACGATGTCTTCTACACTACCAACACTGATGGACAGCATTGCTTCAAGTTCCTTGATAGTGATGCGCCTATTCTAACGAATAAGTGCATCTGCACAATCAATATTTGGCTCGGTGACGGATGTTCGAGGCCAATGATCATGCGGTTCTTTCTCCACGCGCTCTCTGCCCTCTCTGAAGCACTTACACCACCCAAACACATAGATCCATAAGAGACACTCTTCCCCATACTAGCAGATGGGACGTTTTCTCCATCGAGGAATTTGATCACAATGTGTTGTTCCACGCTCCGTGGTTACCTTCTGTTGGATCATCACTCTAGCAACTCCCAGACAGGACTGAACAGGTTCTAACCTGAATAGGAGGGAGGGTGGAAGTTGTGGCTTCACTCTCTCAAGGTTGCACAGCTGCTGCGCAGTGCGGCTTGTTTACACACAAATCAGTCCCGGTCATATTTGAACCACCTTGTATTACAGATTATAACAATGAAAATACTGTGGCATGCAGACCCATTGCTAGGCAACAACAGTGAAAGTAACAGCCTTAAAAACAGGCATTTTTACACTGCAACAACTGGAAACAGCAACAGAGGAACAGTGTTTTCTGTATGGTCCATGCCGAGGTGTTATAAGCAGGACAGTTTGCGAGTCAGTTCCCCACATGGAGGCTGGTTTGAATACCTCCATTGTTGCCCTGCAAGTTGTAGAAGGCAACATAAAGGGAATCCAGCACCTGTAGGTTTAACTGGGCCACCATGTTCCTGGTGGATATAAATACAAGGACCTGAACCTTCAGGCTGGGGGAATCTCGAATCTGAGACAGTAAAATATGGTCTTAACAGCCTCTGGACTCGGTCGCGAGAATGACTGCACTGGTGAGGGCCAGCAGCAATTGTGAATGACAGACCTGTCCTCTCATCAGAGAGGACACCAACCCACAAATATCAAAGATAAAAATTTGGTGTTGGGTCCCAGATGGGTGCTTGACACCAAGACAGACTGACCGAGTGACCATCAGTCGTAACATAACTTTGATTTTGAGTCAGTCAGTCAAGGGCTGCTGTAGCTGAGACTGGGGATAGTTCTAGAACCGAGAGTAAGGGGAATATTCGCCACTGAAAGTCACTACTGAGCAATGGCTAGGAAAGATTGAGAAGACTTTATTAGTGCTGTAGTTACAGTGATCTTTCAAGTGTGTAACTCAGACTGTCATAGTTATTTGTGGTTATGTTCTGTAAGTGTTCAATACACTCTATTACCAATCCAAACCCCATCTACAGTCACCCCATATGCATGACAACTGGTGTCTGAAGTGGGATTGGATCGAGTGCATTATTGGATTGAAGATTGCAATGGTTGGTTTATTGTTATCCTACAAAAATGAAATAAAGGATGCAACCAATGCTGGAACACCTGCTACACATCATGGAGAAGTCTGAGGCCAATATGATGGCCAAGTTAGATGCCTATCAAGAAAATATGGATGCCTGGCTAGAAGAAATGAGGGACGATTGAAAAGAGATGATGGCCTATTCACAAAAACAGAGACAAGTCCAGAAGAAATGAAATCCATAGTGGGGCATCAGGAAGTCTCTAAAGAAAAGGCCGCAGTGAAAACTGTAGGAGCACTGGAGGACTGATATGGGAACCGGCATCTAGCCATATGGCACCACCGACGGCTTGACTAGCCTGATCACAGATGTCACAAGCACAGATCTCGGAAAAGAAGAAATGGTGGTATGCCTGTGGGCTATTCAGGACGAATGGCCTTAAGGAAGGTGCAATGTGGCATGTAGACCCACTGCTAGGCAATGACCATGAAAGGAGTAGCCATACAACAGCTGTTACTGAGTAACAGCTTCACAAACAAGCAAGCTTGCATGGCAGTTGAAAACAGCAACATAGGGACAGAGTTTTCTGTGTGGTCCGTGCTGAGATAATATAAGCAGGACAGTGAGTCAGTCAAGAGTTACTGTAGCTGAGGCCGGGGACATTTCAGGAACTGGAGTAAGGGTAACATCAGCTGTTGGAAGCTGCTACCAAGAAATGGCTATGGAAGACTGAGAAGACTTTTATGTATGCTGTAATTACAGTGACTGTTGGAATGTGAAACTCCAGACTGTCACACTTATTTGTAGTTACGTTCTGAAAGTGTTCAATAAATCTGATTACCAATCAAAACCCCATCTATAGTCACTCTAAAATCATGACAATATCTAATGGAGAATCCTTTACACAGGTAATAAACTATATTTTAAGAAGGTATGTGATGCAATGATATTCAGCAAAAGATTGATACTTGGTACACCACTACCCCTGAAGATGGCCCTTAATAATGGGTTGGAACTTGCAGCACAGTAACTAAGCTGTATTACTGTGATGTAGCAATGATCTTAAAATTGATCTAATTTTTGACTGAGTTGCAAGATGCCATATTAAAAGATTGTTGTAATGGTTAGTTTATTAAAATGAATGCAGTTTGTTAAATATTCTCCTGCTATTGCCAATGGCTCCTCTGGTGCTGAAGTATATTCAGTGACTGTTACATGTTTTGTACCTGAGGAATCACATATTTAAATTAACCCGTTGCCGTGGTTCGTCGTGTATGTTTCGTCAGGGATTTAAATCGTCTGGGGGGGTTCGACGTGTATGTTTCGTCCAGCTGCACACGTATGTTATAACGCCCATAATAATTGATGGTTTTGCTGTAGATTGTTAGATTTTTCACTGGCCTGTTGTCAGGAGGACTGTATTTAATGACACACGCGTTTAAGAGCGCTAAGTCGTCGTTACATATGCCTGTCTTGCAGCAACGTTCCTGTGGCTATTGCGAGCTGTTTCTGTTATGAATGATGTGTTTTGTTTGCTCTGAAGCTATAAACACCAGAGACTGATATGTGCTGGTGTTTATAATATCATATTGCCCTGAGCTGGCTATTCAATTGGAATTCTTAGAAGAGGGATGTACAAAAGTTTATGCCTGCAAAATCGATTGCTTTCGCACAGTACATAGCACCCATTTCTTAGAAAAACGCCACATTTTAAGGCAGAACACTGTGGTCACCCCCTGAGACGATACGGATGTGTGTGGGGGAGGGAAAAGAACTCATTCCTTCGCTCATTATCGCTCCAGTTGACTCCATTTTATCGTACTGACCTTGGTGGTCGTTTCGAGGGATGACCATAAATATTTTTTTGAGCCAGCTAAGCTCTACTTTCGTTCACTACATACCAGACAGTTCTTAGAATAACTTCATGAATTCTGTGGTCACCCCTACGACATCTCCTGCCGCCAAAATGGATGGAATATCAAAGGCATAGCAACAACCCCTTGTTATGATAACTCGTAACGTTGAATTTACTACAGCTGACCTGGCAACTAAACGGGTCACGGAAAGACATTTCCTTGAAGTATACCCCTCACGGGTAAGAAGGCAAGGCCGCACATATGTGTGGTTAAAAAAAAGGGCCAAAAAAAATACACAATATTGGAGCGGAGAATGGTGAACGTGGGGCACCGTTGGGTTATACGAATGCTTCAAGGCCTTCCTTCTACTAAACCAACTGCCTCCATTACCGAGATACAGGGCGCTCATATTATAAGGTAAGGTTATAAAACCACCATTTAAGATCATTTTAGTGAAAGTTTCATGTTCCTATCTCATAGAATTTAAGAACAATGATGAATAAATAATTTTCGAGCAAAATTTAAATGGCCGGCTGAATATATTACCGCAGGAGCCGCGGCCGCGGAATTTAAATGACCACGTCAAAGGGTTAACTATCAGTCACAAAAATTGTCATTTATTTTACAGATTCTAAAATATCTTCATATAGATGAACTCGTGATTTTTAGACGGCATGTTGCAAGCAAAAAGGAGATACCCAGTCAGACATATCTTATATAACTCTTCTTTGGATAATGGTAAAATTCCAGCACTTGCAACTCTCTGATATGGTTCAGGGTTTAGAATCTGTTCTTAGAGTTTACATCACAGTCAGTAGATAGCTCCCACAATATTGTACTGATATTAAAGTTTGCACAACATGTAAAATAAAATTTCACTGAATTATGGATATTCACAATGTTAAAAATACTTGCCCTCAGGCAAAATGGCCAGGCTACAGGGATAGCCTAGAAGTTTCTAGCTAGGTTTAAATATGTTCATATAGAGTGTACTCAAATTCAATTTAGTTGGTAATACAAAACTCAAATAGAAATAACCTGTAGATAAGAGCAACACATGCTATTCAACACACAAGGGTAGACTTACAGCAATAAAAATTTCTCCCCCCATTTATAAGAATTTCCATCTGTAAAATCTCTTTTTAATTAACCACCTTCTTTCCACATGAAGTTATAAACATAACCACCTTGTACGCAGTATTATTTAGGTTAAAAAAAAATTCCATCAATCTGCAGAAGTGTGCATGCATACCTCTGTCTACACAGATGCATGTATGTGGTGTGTTCAAAAGTATCGAACCTTTGGTCGGCAGAAATAAATTTATTGATTTGGAGGTACAAAACCCTAATCCCCTTCAAAGTAGTCTCCTTGGTAATGCACACACTTCTCCCAGCGCTTCCACCATTGTTGGAAACACTTCTGGAATGGGTCTTTTGGAATGGTGATCAGCCGGGCCGTCATATTCTGCATGATGTCTTCTCTTGACTGAAATCGGTTTCCTTTCAGCGGCATTTTCAGCTTGGGAAATAGCCAAAAGTCACATGGAGCCATGTCGAGGGAGTAGGGAGCCTGATGAACCACAGAGATGTTGTGTTTGGCGACAAAAGTCTGAATCAGATGCGCAGAATGGGCAGGTGCGTTATCATGATGGAGATGCCAAATTTTTGCTGCCCACAGATCCGGTCGTTTGCACCGCACAGCATCGCGAAGGCGACGAAGGACCTCCTGTGGTGCGTACTCATGACGCACAACCCCACGGGAGTCGAAAAAAATGGCCAACATGACCTTGATATTGCTGCGGACCTGCCGTGCTTTTTTTGGCCTCGGGGATGTCGGATGTTTCCGCTGTGACAACTGCATCTTGGTTTCTGGGTTGTACCCATAAACCCACGACTCATTGCCTGTGATCACGGTGTTCAGAAAGTTGGGGTTACTGTTTGCATTGTCCAGCATGTCCTGTGCAATTTCCAGACGGCATTGCTTCTGCTCCATTGTTAGCAGTTTCGGTACGAATTTCATGGACACTTCCCTCATGCCCAAATCCTTGGTCAAAATTGAATGTACCGATCCAATGCTTACCCTTATCTCGTTCGCAAGTTCTAGGACTGTGATACGACGGTCCTCCATGACCAAAGTCCACACTTGCTCAATGACATTCTCATTTCGGCTTGTTGAGGGTCTGCCTGAATGCAGTTCTCTGTCCACTGATGTGCGCCCATCTTTGAAACGGTTGTACCACTCCTTTATGCGTGAGTTGCTCATGGCATCGTCCCCGAAAGCCTGTTGAATCTTGCAAATGGTTTCCACTTGGGTATTGCCAAGCTTTTGGCAAAATTTGATGCAATATCACTGCTCATGTTGTTCCATCATTTTACACCTTAGTGGAATCCGACGAGCACTGACTACACGTCCTCACTCCTCCGACTGCCAGTGACTGACGCTTTCTGTGGGCGGGCGCATGAATGTCCTCTCCACATCTCCACCGAAGGGAGCCTCCTGTGCTTCATTGGTTTACGCGGGAAAAAAGAAGGTTCGATACTTTTTGAACACACCACGTACACTTCCACAGGTTAACAATGTACCCACACAAAGCCTTTCCACAAGCTCTCACTCTACTATGCATTACCTGATATCCAAATGCTTGCGGAGAATTGTCAATTATAATAGTCCGTGACAGGTCTCGGCCAAGAATGGAGAGATCCTTGATGTAGTTCCCATTAACACACACACAATGCTCCCGAAACAGGCGATACCTAATGAGCAGAAATCACCAGCATGAAGACTTCACAGGAAAACAAACCTAGTAGCCTATAACGTCACCAAGATCTTCTCTCTATATATATATGAACTGTCACTGTCTTCTATTCTCTGCACCTAAAATATCTTTCAGGGTGCTGTCATCAGTGAGTGATGTAGGTTATTACACCACGACAGTGTCACCAGATCCTATTTTCAACACATGACGGGAACCCAAGTCACCATGTTAAAGTGCTCACTGCACACAATGGACTGTTCTTCCATAGGTTGCTTTCACAAGGTATTATGTAGCATCAAAGATGTTTCAGGCAAGCCAACTACTTAATTACGGTTCCTTCCTTTCTCAGCTGTCAAGACCGGATGACTGACAAATGCAAAAAGTACTCCATAACATACAGTGTGGTATCCTCAGTTTATGGTTTTCATTTGTCTAGTGTTAACCTCTATGATCCAAATTATATGTCAAACTTCTTCCACATAATATTTTGCTGTACAGACTTACAGTCTTATGTATATCTCTACAGTTGTCAATGTAACATGTAGGCATAATATAAGTTTATAATGCAATAATACAACAATTTTAAATGATAAAATGTGCTTTATGAGTATGTACATGGATGGTCATAGGGCTATCGGCATTTTCATACACAAGCCAGCATATTCTATATTATGTGTAACTGATGAATATATCAAATACAAATTATCATCACTGCCATCATCAACTAACTTTTGGGAAGAACTTAAACTTGAATAAAGATTCTATGTTAAATGTATCACATATAACTTCAAAGTACTGAAGAGGTCTTATTTGTAACTTTTGTAAAATGTATTTCATACATAATTTGTATATACATTTTAACCTATTTCATATTCCTAGCTCCAATGGTTCATTAGTTACCACTGTCGAAATGAAAACTAAAAGAACAAATGGCTGCTATATTCCTGTTTTACACTCTACAAAAATTACCTGGACATAAGTTGCATATGTCTCATAGATATATTACAATATGCAATTTCAAAGTACTACATTAAATGGCGCTCACATGGCTCCCATGCCAGTCACAGGAAATGAAGAAGTACAATATAACATGACCAAAAATGACTTAACAGTCATAAAAATAATTCCGTGGCCTGTAGTCCACAAGCGAACTATTCATTCATTCATTCATTCATTCATCTGTAATCTGTCAAGACGACAGGTCCACAGTCTCTTCCAAAACAGTTCCTCCACTTGATGCGATCGAGAGCTTTCTCCTTCAAATGAAAATATCCCCTTCTGTCCCCAAGGTTATCCAGCATCTTCTTACTTCTTCTTCCTTGTCTTCTGGTCACTTCTATCCACCCCTCTATCTTTCCTTCAATAACTTCTTTTAGAAGGCAGTTACCACGTAAGCTATGACCAATCCAATTAGCCTTCCGTTTTCCTGTTTCATGTAGGATATTCCTCTGCTCACTGACTCTAAATAACACTTCTTCATTTCTCACATAATCGGTCCAACTGATCTTCTCCATCCTTCTCCAACACCACATTTCGAAGCTTTCCAGGTGTTTCTGATCTACTGCCCTAAGTGTCCATGTTTCAGCCCCATACAAAGCGATGCTCCAAATGTAGAATTTCACTACTTTCTTTCTCAAATTTAAGTCCAATCTGCTGGTAAAAAGATTCTTCTTCTTGCTAAATGCAGCTTTTGCCATGGCAATCTTAGATTTAATTTCACATGTACACCTTCCATCATCTGTTAACAAGCTACCCAAATATTTAAAACATTTCACATTCTCCAGTTGTTTTTGGTCTATCTTTATTGTGACTTGGGTTGGTTGTCTCGAAATTTTCATTATTTTTGTTTTTTTCCACATTCATTTCCATGCCATAGCACCTTCTGATTTCAATTAGTCTATCAATCATACCCTGTAGCACAGTTTCTTCCTTAGCCATTAACACAAGGTCATCTGCATATTTCACTATACCGACCGAGAAACCGCCACATGTCAGAAAAGTTAGTGCCAACTTTTGCAGATAGAGGTGTCATGTGATCAGCACAACAGATCCCTACGGCCGTTAATCTCGGATTTCTAGACCAGTGCTTCTATTTCCTTAAGACAGCTCCTCGGTTATCAACACAAGGCTGAGTGGACCCCATTCCAGACCCACCACTTTACAGAAAATCTGACAGTGCCGGGAATTGAACCCAGGACCTCTGACCACTAGACCACAGAGGCAGCAAAACATTTTTAAAATCAGTCAACTGATTGAGAAGTCGAAAGGAGGTACATGTGCAGATGGTGGTCCTGTAACTAGACACTTCCTTCTCCTTAAGGAAATAATGTCCTAATAACAGTCTTATAATGGGATCAACAACACTGTTTGAAGCCCCTTCACAGTTCAGGTGACTGACTTTTACAATACAGGTATACAGTTCTCTTCCATTGTTACAAATACATTCAAGATTGTAAAAATTACTTTTCACCATTCAACAAGCATAGCACAGCTCCAAGGTCCAAAAAGGTATCCACAACAAAGGCTTGTAACACAATAAACAGAAATATTTCTGATCTGTATTCAGAAGATGCCTGGTTCAGTTCTCGACCAAGACAATGACTACCTTGACTGAAGTTTTTGTGGTTTTCTTCAATTCCTCCAGGCAGATGTCAGGACAGTATTTCAAATTAGACCAAAACTCCTTCCTTCCATATCCATTCCAATTTGCTTCACTATTCATTAATCACCCATTCATTTAATGTTACAGTCACTGACAGTGTTGTTAAATAAACAAAAATAAATAACATTCCAACATAACAATGCACTGAATTTTGAAGTATATCTGCATCAATTTCATATTCCTCATCTTCAATCACCTGTGCAACTGTGGACTACAAAAAGGAAACCTATTCTGTCGAAGTAAGTGACAATAATGCTTGGAGAAATCATGTCCTGTGGAAAAATGGCATTTCTGATAATATAGACACAAGACAGGAACTTCCCTCAACATTACACAAATACCTCACTTCACAGGACTGTATATGTACCATGATTTTTTAACTTTACTTCTTCAAATTTGTTTACAGAAACAAGGCAGTTCTATGCCTATATATAACATCACATTATAGACCAGTAATGTGATAATCTGTTTAAGTATGGGAAGAATGGAAACTCACTTTATCCATCTTCTAGTAGGATCCAGCAGGTTCAGAAGCTTATCTGCATATACTCGTTTAGATGCAGTGAAGAGAATCACCTCGAACATGCAAGACACCTTCTCCAGGAATTCACGGAAGTACGGCCGAGTCCTCACAAATACAGTGTAGCTACATTCCTGGAATAGGACTGGGAAGCTGAATGATGCATCTTCCAATTCTTGTAGGCTGCAGTGGACCAGTGTCTCATCCTGCAGAACACAGCCATACATACACAAAAATTAAACTGAGGCTAGTATTTTCCTTTAATGTTGCCTGAAGTATATAAAAGACATGACATAACAATTTTGACTAAAGCCAAAACTCACAAGTTCATCATTGAAGAATTAGGGTCTGTTAACAGAAGTATGAATTCTGATGAAAAGCCCACTACAACACTACGAACTGCAATAGAATTTTAATAATATCAGAACATAGAACTTTTCTGGAAATAATGAGTGAACTACTCCTTTTCACTATTAGAAATCTGTATAATTTCAAAACAAAATATTTCTCAAAATGCCCTCCCCCTCCAACATACACTCTGCTCTTGTACATTTGACTGACAACAGTCCACCTTGAGACAACATGCAGTTTCTTCGTGCTTCAAGACACCAAAAATGGGATCTCAAAAAAGTAAGCATCCTTAATTATTTCCAACTTAATAAAGAGAAGCAGTAGCTAACTACATTTCTATTTTCACAAATCAGTATCTCAGTAACAACCATTTATTAATTTTCTAGTAGAGCAAACCTGTACATGGGGAAAAACATGGTACAAGTTCAATACATAGTGACAGAAAATAAATCACACATTATCTTTATCAATTCTGCAATCAATACTTACATGAATAAACAAATGAATGAACAAAATTACTGAATAGATAAATAAATAAAATAAATGAGAAACAGCTCTTACTCAATTACAAAGATCCTATAAAACCTGATAAACTGTATGGCACTGACAAATACTGAAACAAGCTATGTATATTACATTTAAACTGTGTAACACATTTAATTCATTCCTGTCTGTTCATGTCACTACTGATGGAGCAATCTTATTCAAACATTTAGACCTGATATGCACATAATAATCAATATCTGAAGTCTTTTAACCTTTAAATGCCGAACTTCGAAATAGTGGTAAGCTTGAGCTGGCCGGAGTTTATTTAAATGCCCGTTGCTACTCTGTGTTTAAATGTCCATTCCTATTAAGCGCTTAATCAATTTTAAGCGTTGTGTTTAAAAATGCTGTATCTTGCTCAATTTTTATGATAAATGGATGATATTGACTTTGTTTATATCAGCAAAGAACACAGTGTCGCATATTATAACAGAAGATTTGAAATTTTTAATACAAAGTGTTATACTCTATTTTCAATTTTTTGTTTTAATTTTGATGCGTACTGCAAAAATGGTTTCCCAGTTCTTCACAGAGTTGTTCTGCATTATAAATTAATTTCTGTTTGTAACACTTGATGAATTTTAGCAGTCCCTGGTGTCATAAAACAGATGGAAGCAACAAAATCATTTGGTCTCCTGCTAGCCCTGCTTACACTCTTCGGATTTTCGAATCTTTTGACTGAAGGACAGAAGAATGAAAGCATGGCTATTCAAGAGAAAGCTAGAGGGGTCCCTTCTTCAGTGCTAAGACCTTCCGTTAGAGCTGCAAAAGTTTATTGCCCCTTCTATTTGAATGAGCAGACAGCTGCATTGTGGCTAAGATACAGAGTGCGATCTGTTTTCTGTGCGTTTGTAGTGAAATCGAATACTGTAGTATAATTTCAGCCTATATATACATCAAGCAGGTAACAACAAAAAAGGTATGTACATCGAATTTTACAATATATTTTTAACATACCTATCTGCAGAATCTGCAATAAAATTACTGGATCGTGGATGAGTTTTGGCATAACTCATACGTATATTTTTATTTGCTCTTGTTCATTTAGGTATCAATTTAATTCCTCTATTAGGGTTTTACTCAAGTCTGTCTGGTAATTACTACATTTAAAAATAAATAGTTAGGAATGTGCATGTGCTTCCATTAGTGGCGTGTGCGCGCGCTTCCCCTAGCGGAGTTTAAATGCCTGACTGGCACAAACGGGGTACTTTGGCCATGACGACCTTACTCATGACGGGCACAAACGGGGCACTTCGGCACTTGAAGGTTAAAATATAACAAATATACAATCCTAATGGTCTTGTAACCAGGGTATGTCATACCTTGTGTAGGTAACCCCGCAAATGAAAAGCTGTGTGTTCAACAAGGTATCCCATATGATGCATCCAGGGACCTATATTCATATGATGACAGACCACTAACAATCACAATATCTTTCATACTTTCCATATATACTATTTCGCTGCCTTACAGTGAAGAAACTAAAAAATTAAAAAAGAAACTCATCTGCAGTAAGTTAACATGAAAGAAAAAGTAGTGTGTGTGTTACCATTAATTTCTCATATAAATAACATGCTCTGTTTCAAAGTCACTGTCGCAGCAACAAAGCTGTCTGCTCCGAGCAGGACTTTACCAGATAAACGACACCCATCTGTCCCCCATGGTGCTCCAAAATAGTTCCAGACTTGATGTAAATTTACATGCTGCATGATATTTAATATATCTCTAGCAACATTCTCACAGAGTCTGGGGTACCCAAAAAGAAAAACTAGTTAAGCTGATTAAACTGCGTTTAAATGAAACATATAGTGAAGTTCACATAGGTAAACATTTGTTTGATAATTTTCCTAACCAGAATGGTCTACAACAAGGAGATGCTTTATCACCAGTACTTTCCAACTTTGCTTCAGAATATTCCATTATGAAGGCCCAGGAAAACCATCTGTGACTAAAATTAAATGGGACACATCACCTGTAGGCCTATGGTGATGATGTGAATCTACTGGATGATAACACAGATCATCATCATCATCATCATCATCATCATCATCATTAATCTGTCAAGACGACAGGTCCACAGTCTCTTCCAAAACAATTCCTCCACTTAATGCGATCTAGAGCTTTCTCCTTCAAGTGATAGTATCCTCTTCTGTCCCCAAGGTCATCCAGCATCTTCTTATGTCTTCTTCCTCATCTTCTTGTCACTTCTATCCGCCCCTCTATCTTTCCTTCGATAACTTCTTTTAGAAGGTAGTTTCTGCGTAAAACATGACCAATCCAATTAGCCTTCCGTTTTCTTATTTCGTGTAGGATATTCCTCTGCTCACTGACTCTAATTAACACTTCTTCAATTCTCACATAATCAGTCCAACTGATCTTCTCCATCCTTCTCCAACACCACATTTCAAAACTTTCCAGATTTTTCTGATCTACTGCCCTAAGTGTCCATGTTTCAGCCCCATACAGAGCTATGCTCCAAATGTAGCATTTCACTAGTTTCTTCCTCAAATTTAAGTCCAATTTGCTGGTAAAAAGATTCTTCTTCTTGCTAAATGCAGCTTTTGCCATGGCAATCCTGGATTTAATTNCATCATCTGTTAACAAGCTGATAACACAGATACCATAAAGAAAAACAGAAACTTTAATTCACACTTCTAAGGAGGCTAATTTAGAAGTACACACAGAGAAAACTAAGTCTCGTCACCAGAATGCAGGGAAAAATCATGACATGAAGATAGCTAACAAATGTTAGGAACATATGGCAGAGTTCAGATATTTGGGAATGACAGTAACAAAACAAAACCTGGCTCAAGAGGAAATTAAGAGAAGACTGAATTCAGGCAGGCAATGCTTGTTACCATTCAGTCTAGAAATATTTGTCTTCTTGCCTGCTGTCTAAAAACATAAAAATTAGAATATACAAAACTCTAATTTTGCCTGTGGGTCTGTATATAAAAAAAGGTAAAGCTGTCCATGTAACAGGCTGTGAAGGCCCACAGGGGTGAGACGTCGAGGTTCCCACACTTTCTAGACAGTCGGCTCATAGATGGCGGTAAGCTTGTTAGCCTTACGCACCAGCCGCCTTTTTACCCTCAAGGAAAATTCCCGGTACTCATTTATGTTAGAGGCTGAGTCGACCCCAGGGCCACTGTATAGCTGGAAGGATTAGGTCAATTGAAAAATCCAATGAACTCATTGGGATTTGATCCCACAACCTTCCGGCTTGTAGTATAGTGCCTCAAACAACTACACTACTATGTACCACCTGAAGGTCTGTATGGATGTGAAATTTGGTCTGACATTAAGGGAGGAATACAGACTGAGGGTGTCTGAGAACAGGGTGCTGAGGAGAATATTTGGACCGAAGAGAGATGCAGTGATGGGAGAATGGATAATGAGGAGCTTCATAACTTGTACTCTTCGCCAAATATAATTAGAATGAGGAAGTCAAGGAAGATGAGATTGGCTGAGCATGTAGCATGCATGGGGAGAAGAGGAATGCATACAGGATATTGGTGGGAAAGCCATAAAGAAAGAAACCACTAGGGAGACCAAGATGTAGGTGGGAGAACAATATTACAATGGATCTTAGAAAGACAAGATGGGGTGGTATGGACTGGCTCCATCTGGCTTAGGACAGGGACCAGTCAAGGGTTCTTGTGAACACAGTAATGAACCTTCGGATGCCATAAAATGCTGGGAAGTTCTTGCGTAGCTGCACGATTGGCAGCTTCTCAAGAAGGGCTCAGCTCCTTGAAGTTAGTTAGTTAGCTTGAGCTAAGCAAGCAGTTTTTAAGTTTTAGTACATATCCTGTACAACACATAATACAAACTACAGAATGGCCAAAATTTTGTAAGAACATGTCACATATACAGCTGGACATCTTGGTTTACTTTTCTTTGTGACATCTGGGGACTGGTTAAGAAAAAAAGAAAAAAGAAAAAAAATCTGAGCTTCTGCAGGTGATGTGAAACATTTCTTCAGACAAGAGACTTTGAAAAGCAGCCAATTTTATCACACACACACATGAATAACGGGACGTATGTGTCTCTCTGAAA